CCGGGAATGAAGGTGAGCGCGGGGGGCAGGGGACTCGGGATGAAGGTGAGCGCGGGGGGCAGGGGGCCCGGGATGAAGGTGAGCGCGGGGGGCAGGGGACTCGGGATGAAGGTGAGCGCGGGGGGCAGGGGACCCGGGATGAAGGTGAGCGCGGGGGGCAGGGGACCCGGGATGAAGGTGAGCGCGGGGGGGCAGGGGACCCGGGATGAAGGTGTGCGCGGGGGGCAGGGGACCCGGGATGAAGGTGAGCGCGGGGGGCAGGGGGCCCGGGGCCCGGGCTGAGGGGAGAACGCGGGGGCAGGTGCCGGGGCCCCGGGATGAAGGTGTGCGCGCCGCCCAGGTGCCGGGAGCAGAAGGAGCGCGCGGGCCTGGGGGCTCCCGGGTGGCTCCCAGGGCGGGGAAGGCCACGCCCCTCCACCCCGGCGGGGCCGAGTAGGTGCAGCCGGATTAGACCGCGTCAGGCGGGGGTGGGTCCCGGGAGGGCGCGGGGCGCGCACGTTTCCCCCGAGGTCTCCTTTGTCTACGTTTGGGAGGAGGCGGCGGCGAGGCCAGCAGCGCTCGGCGGGCTCACGGGTGAGTCTCGTTCCACGGACTTTCCCCGGTGGGGAGAATGGGGGTGTCGTTCGCCGCTTGGACCGCGCTGGTCCGCGGGGCTGGAGTATCACTGGGGAGCGCGGTTCGCGTCCCTGGACCAGGGCGGAGCCGGCCTCGCCCGAGGACTCCCAGGCGTCGCCCTGCGGCGGCCCGTGGCTGTCGTGGGTCTCCGGCCTCAAACTTTGAAATCGTGCGGACGGGGGAAGTAAATAACTCTCCAGAAAGCGAGGGTCTGGCGGAGATTTCCGAAGCTGCATTTTTTATTTTGTATACTTGCATGAAGTTTCGAAACAAAATTAAAAATGCAACTTAGAAAATCTAGTAGCATTTTTTAAATACATATATACGTTTTTAAATATATATATATTTTAAGATGGAGTCTCGCTCTTGTCACCCAGGCTGGAGTGCAGTGGCGGGATCTCAGCTCACTGCAACCCTCGCCTCCGGGTTCAAGCGATTCTCTGCCTCAGCCTCCGGAGTAGCTGGGACTACAGGCACCTGCCACCACGCCTGGCTAATTTTTTTTTTTCATTTTTTTTCTTTTTTTTTTTTTTTGTACTTTTAGCGTAAGAGACGGAGTTGCACCATATTGGCCAGGCTGGTCTTGAACTCCTGATCTCGCGATCCAGCCTCCTCGGCCTCCCAAAGTGCTGGGATTACAGGCGTGAGCCACCGCGCCAGGCTAAATATATTTATTTACAAAATATGCGCAGGTCTCTTTTATATTAACATGCTCACAGTGTGATCAAGACACCAGTCTCTTCCCTTTCTTTTCCTCTTCACTTCTCTCTGGAAATGGCAATACCCTCCACCCAAATTTCTCTAGCAAAAAACCTGGGACACTCGCTGTTTTGTTTTGTTTTGTTTTGTTTTGTTTTGTTTTTAAGACGGAGTCTCCTCTGTCTCCCAGGCTGGAGTGCAGTGGCGCGATCTCGGCTCACGGCAACCTCCGCCTCCCAGGTTCAGGCGATTCTTCTGCATCAGCCTCCGAATAGCTGAGGTTACAGGTGTGCACCCCTACGTCCGGCTATTTGTTGTATTTTTAGTAGGGACGGGGTTTCACTATGTTGGTCTGGGTGGTCTCGAACCCCTGGCCTCAGGTGATCCGCCTGCCTCGACCTCCCAAAGTGCTGGGATTACAGGCGGGAGCCACCGCGCCGGGCCCGAAGCTCATTTTTGATTCTTGTTTCCCTCCCGCCCTTCGGGCAATCCACCCGCGAAGTGGAGGTGGGGCGTTATTTCTCCTGCTTTCCCGCCCTCCCTGCGTTTCATCTCCTCTGCCACCACCTGCTCCAAACCACTAGCAGCCCTTCCCGAGATCCTAAATCTAGTAGGGTTTTCCTGTTCTTCCCAAATCCATTCATTCTCCAGGCAGCGGCCCGGCCCATTTTCTAAGCTAAGAAAGCGTGGTTGCGGGCTGGAAAACCCGTAATGGCTTCCCTGGGTCTCGGAACGAAATGCAAATGGCCCCGCGGCGCACAGTCAGCCCCGCCCCCGGGCCTGGCCCCAGCCCCCACCTTCCTGCCCGCCACGCGGTGGGAGCCTGGAGCGCGGCCTCCTTCCCTCAGCCTCGAACCGGCGGCGCCTTCGCTCGTGTCTTCCTGCGCCAGGCACTCTTCCTCCTGCCCACATCTGGCTCCGATGTCCCCCTCTTTGGGGGCCTTTTCCAGACATTCATGCTCAAGTGGCGTGCCCGCTACTTCCCCTTTCATACTCTTTTTTCTTTTTTCTTTTTTAGCATTTTTCTCAATCTGAAATGTTTTATTTACTCTTTACTGTCAGTCCCACAGCAAGCTCTGTGTTAACGAGGAACTTTGTGCCTTTTTCCCTAAGTTCGTCTGGAACAATGTGTGCTACTAAATGTCAGGCGACTGAAAAAGTAAATGATGCGCCCCTGAAAGTACTTGTGCCCCAGTGAAGCCCATGCCACTGTGTTCATTTTATGTAAGATTTTGTCCACATCCGCTGTGTACCCGTTATGTTTTCCATGTACAGTCAAGTTCCATCTAAGGACGTCTCAGTGCGCCAGCAACCACATATACTATGGTGATCCCATGAGATTATAAAAGAGCTGAAAAATTCCTGTGGCCTAGTGACTTTTTTTTGAGACAGGGCCCCACTCTGTCACACAGGCTGGAGTGCAGTAGCCTGATCTCAACTCGCTGCAACCTCCACCTCCAGTGTTGAAGCGATTCTCCTGCCTCAGCCTCCTGAGTAGCTGGAATTACAGGCATGCGCCACTATGCCCCGCTAATTTTTGTATCTTTAGTAGAAGCGGAGTCTCACTGTATTGGCCACGCTGGTCTCAAACTCTTGACCTCAGATGATCTGCCTGCCTCAGTCTCCCAAAGTGCTGGGATCATACCTTGATGATCGTGAATTTATGTAGGCGTAGGCTCATGTGTGTTTGTATCTAAAGTTTTTAACGTAAAAGTTTTTAAAAGCTAAAAAAATCTTAGAATGATAATATAAAGAAAAAATATTTTCGTACATTTGAAAAAATGTGTTTTAAGCTAAGTGTTACTACAAAAGAGGATGTTTACAAACTTTTTTTTCTTTAATATGGGGTTTCACCATGTTGGCCGGGCTGGTCTCGAACTCCTGACCTCGAGTGATCCACCCACCTCAGCCTCCCAAAGTGCTGGGATTACAGGCATGAGCCACCACACCCGGCAACAAACTTTGAGCATGTATAAAGTTAAAGACAGGCCTCGTGCCGTGGCTCACGCCTGTAATTGCAACACTTTGGGAAGCTGAGGTGGGCGGATCGCCTGAGGTTGGGGGTTCGAGATCAGCCTGGGCAACATAGACAAACCCCATCTCTACTAAAAATACAAAATTAGCCGGGCATGGTGGCGCATGCCTGTAGTCCCAGCTACTCGGGAGGCCGAGGTTGCTGTGGGCCGAGATCATCCCATTGCGTGCAGCCTGGGCAAGGGGAGCAAAGTCTCAAAAATGAAAATAAAGTTAAAATGTTACAGTAAGCACAGCTAATTTATGATTCAAGGAAGACAAATTTTTATGTAACTTTTAAAATGTGCCTGCGTGTGCAGTGCTTACAAAGCCTACAGCTGCATACAGTGGTGTCCCAGGCCTTCACATTCACTCAGCACTCACTCACCTAGAGCCACGGCCAGTCCTGTGAGCTCCATTCATGGATGTGCCCTATACAGGTGCACCATTTTTCATCTTTTGTGCGGTAATTTTTATGTTTAGATATGTTTATGTGCACAAATACTGTTGTGTTACCGTTGCCTGCCATACTCAGCTGTAACATGCTGTGCACATTTATGGCCTAAAAGCGACAGGCCCTACCATGTCGCCCGGGTGTACTGCAGGCTGTGTCATTTAGGTCTGCATAGGCTCTGATGACACAGAACCTAAAGCTATATTTCTCAGAACAGAATTACTGTCATGAGTGATGCATGACTAGTTGTTTCTGCTAACAGAAATTTGCTTGCCAGATAAACAGTTTTCTTATAGTAAATTACCATGTTAATTTTATATGTCATCCTTCCAAGCTTGTATATTGCTATGAGAAATAGCATAATGCTCAGAGATCTGACAAATAAGAATTTGGCTTAGAAAGGTAAGGACCACCCCGGAGCAGCGGCTCACGCCTGTAATCCCAGCACTTTGGGAGGCTGTGGCAAGCGGATCACCTGAGGTCAGGAGTTCAAGACCAGCCTGGCCAACATGGGGAAACCCCATCTCTACCAAAAATACAAAATTAGCTGGGCGTGGTGGCGCATGCCTGTAATCCCAGCTACTCGGGAGGCTGAGACAGGAGAATCATTTGAACCTGGGAGGCGGAGGTTGCGGTGAGCCGGGATTGCACCTTTGCACTCCAGCATTTTTTTCTCCCTCTCAGAAAAAAAAAAGAAAGAAAGAAAGATAAGGACCATATTTGAAACTTGGTAAATTTGCAAAGAAAACACCTCTCTTAGGAGGCACCTTTCTCTTTTTTCTAAGACAAGATCTCACTCTGTCACCCGGGTTGGAGTGGAGTGCAGTGCTGTGATCTCGGCTCACTGTGACCCCTGCCTTCCAGGTTCCACCGACCCCCCCCACCGCCTCCCTTGGGAATTCAGACCTAACGTTGCTAAACTGCAGCGTGGCTGTAGTCTGATTAGACTCATTTTTTGTAGAGATGGAGTTTTGCCATTTTGCCTAGGCTGGTCTCCAACCCCTGGGCTCAAGGGATCCACCCACCTCAGCCTCCCAAAGTGCTGGGGTTACAGGCATGAGCCACCACGCCTGGCCTTAGGAATTCCCTTCTATATAACACCTTGCATCGTTAACAGCCAACTTTTTTGAAACTTCTACATTAAGTTGCCTAAACTCTCAAATAAATTCCTAGTAAAGTAATTGTATAGGGCTGTTAAATCAGATCAACAGCACAATGACTAATGCGTACTCACGATTTCATCCCACTAGACAAATGTACTGAGTGCTGGAACCTGTGTGTACAAAACAGAAGAAGACTCAGCTCCTGCAGCGCTTACAGTCTAGCAGGTAAGACAGACTTGAAGTAAGGGATACCAGAGGTCTGATCGGTGTCAAATAGGGAGCTAGGGGGACATTTTTAGCTTTGGAGCTCATCTGAGCCTAAGAATCCAGAGAAGCCTGCCTGAGGAGGTGGTGTTGGGCCTCTGAAGTGTGGATGGGAGAGAAGCCTCTGCGTGTTGGGGGTGGGCGGCGTTTTAGTGAGAAGAAAAAAGAGCATTTGCAATGGGCCGATTCCACGATTCATTCGAAAAGTTTATTATGGGTGAATAATGAAGTACAAGAGCTAGAGATGGCACGAGGTGAGCATGGAGAGAAAGCCAGGGGTCAATTAATTGCAGTTACAAGTTTAGTACTATTTGTCCAAAATACCCCACATGAGCATCTGAAGTCTAAAAATTCGAAATCCAAAATGCTCCAATAAGCATTTTCTTTAAGCGTCATGATGGCACTCAAAAAGCTTTCATACTTTGAGCGTTGCAGACGTTGGATTTTTCAGATTTGGCATGCACAAGCTGTGTGTTAAATGGACTAATTGGGGAGAGTAGCTTTGTGTTTAATCCTGGTAATTACTCTGCAGAGGTGCTAGGATTATGCTCCATAAATATTTTGGGATCTCCCTAGTTAATTTCACCTTTTCATTTTATTTTGTATTGCTATTTTTTGTTTGTTTGTTTTTGAGACAGTGTGTCACTCTTATCATCTAGGCTGGAGTGCAGTGATGCAGTAGAGACAGAGTTTCGCCATGTTGGCCAGCTGGTCTTAAACTCCTGACCTCAGGTGATCCGCCAGCCTCATGCTCTTAAAGTGCTGGCAGGCATGAGCCACCATACCCAGCCCTAATTTCACCTTTTTAAAGCACACAGGCCTGGCGCAGTGGCCTGCACCTGTAATCCCAGCACTTTGGGAAGCCGAGGTGGGCAGATACTTGAGGTCAAGAGTTCGAGACCATCCTGGTCAACATGATGAAACCCCGTCTCTCCTAAAAATACAAAAATCAGCTGGGCATGGTGGCGCGTGCCTGTAGTCCCAGCTACTCAGGAGGCTGAGGCAGGAGAATCACCTGAACCCGGGAGGCGGAGGTTGCAGTGAGCTGAGATTGCACCACTACACTCCAGCCTGGGTGACAGGAGCGAAACTCCATCTCAAAAAAAAAATAAGACAAAGGACACAAAAAATAATAACATTGGTAGCATTTCACATATATGTATTACACATTTTTAATACATTTTAAGAAATCTTAAGCCCTTCCCTTGCAGTTGAAACACATTTCATTTTTATTATCTGTATTTGTTTTTTACCAAAAGTAAATGGCATGCTTCTCTGTAGGTGTTGTTTTTTTAATGTGGCTGTTTAAAAGTATTTTCAAGCTGTTAATTTTCATCCCACACCTTTTTCCTCTTTTTTAAAAGCATATAATTTTTCTTCCTACAGAAAGACATCAGGACAATAAATAGGGAGGTCTTTTATCAGGCACACAATTATAACATTAAGCAGGAAACTTTTACAATAGAAGCAATAGCATATTCATGCTATAACTTTTATAATGTTGCTATTAGATTTTTCTCTTTTTTTTGAGACTGAGTCAAGCGCTGTAGCCAGACTGGAGTGTAGTGCCGGGATCTCAGCTCACGGCGACGTCCGCCTCCCGGGCTCAGGTGATTCTCCTGCCTTGGCCGCCCAAGTAGCTGGGACTACGCCCAGCTAACTTTTTGTATTTTTAGTAGAGACGGGGTTTCACCATGTTAGCCAGGATGGCCTCAATCTCCTGACCTTGATCCGCCTGCCTTGGCCTCCCAGAGTGCTGGGATTATAGGCGTGCGCCACCGTGCCCAGCCTGCTGTTAGATTTTTAAGGACGTGATGGGAAACTCTTCAGGGCCAAGCCACCCTGAGCCTTTATTTTGGCATGGATTCCTAAAAGGTGGGAGCACCATGAATTTCATGTTTCTCATTCTGTGGATCCCCGTCTTCCAGAACAATCAGTGGACACACAACGACCCATGGGCCTGCCTCCCTGCTTTATTGGAGCACACCCAGCCTCATTCCTTGTGTGTTATGTGACGCCTTCTGCGCTACAGTGACAAAGCTGAATAATTCCAGCAGATACCACATGACCCAGAAAGCTAAAATCTGGCCCTTTACAGAAAACGTTTACCACCCTGATCTAGAAAGAACCTGGCACATAGCAGGATCCAACACATACTTATAGAATGAATAAAAAGGTAACAAAATAACACAAGCTCACATAGCGGTCAGCATTTGCTGTGCACCATAATCTGTGCTAAGCACTTTACATGCATTATTTAATGTGAATTTCATGGCAGCATTACATAAGAAAACAAGACTTGCTACCTCACCCACCTTCAGGCTTTTAACCAATTGCCACTGACCACCTCAGTGAAGGTTTGCCTGAGTGCCCTATTTAATATGGCCGGCTTCTGTTTCCTACCAGCCCCTGCTAGGAAAGTACCAGCTTACTCTTTTGCACGTTGTCACCTTCCAACGCGTGGCACACAGCGCTTATGTATTTTCCGTGCACATGAGTATGCCCGCTCCGTGGAGGCGTAGGTGTTGGTGTGCCTGCTTACTGATGGGTCACAGACTGCGTAGCATAAAGTAGAGCGAGCACATGTGTGATGCAGTACGTGTCAGGTGAGCAAAGTAGACGGAGAGAATTCCTGTAACTTGTGGGGACACCCAGGTAAGATCTGTTTATGACACGTCTTACACAAGAGCTCATTCTCTGTCTCTTGGTTAGTCTCTCGGAGAAGATGGAAATGTGGCCATTCCATTACTGGAAAACGTGTTCGAGGCCAGTTTCTGACAGTGGCTCTGATGCTGGAATCTATTTTAACTGAAGGTTATTATCGTAAAGCAGGTGTTTGCTGAAGACAGCTTACCCAGATCACTACTACCTGGAGGCGATTGATAGATCCTGGTGTACATCTTCAAGGAGGACACAGGCAGGAAAACATGAGCCAGCGAGTGAAGACAAGGGCCCAGACACGGGGCCAGAATGGGCTGCGCGGGAGAGCCACCGGTGGGCTCAAGCCGAGGCAGGACGGGGCCAGCCAAGACCTGCAGGCAGAAACGGAGCCCGTCAGCGCGGTGTGGGTCGAGTGTGATGACGGGGTGTGGGCCGAGTGTGATGACGGGGTGTGCCCGGTGTGTGATGACGGGGTGTGCCCGGTGTGTGATGACGGGGTGTGCCCCGAGCCTGGCCTGCAGGCTCCTGGAGAGGATGATTTCTCGGACTGCTACATAGAATGCATCATAAGGGGTGAGTTCTCTCAACCCAGCCTGGAAGAGGACGCACTTTTTATGTCCTTGCAATACCTAAAGAAAGGATCAGAACAAGAGCTTGCTCAAAAGGTTCTCGAAGCGAGCTCCCTTCTCGAATGTTCTTTGGAAGAATATGTGAATAAAGAGCTTCCTCAGAAGATTGCTGGAGAGAATTCACTTGAGTGTTCTGAGTACACGACCAGCAAGAAGCTTCCACCTGGAGGAATACCTGACATGGACCTCGCAGATCCTAAACAGCTCGCAGAACTTGCGAGAATGCAGTCCCCTATAAATCAGGAATGTGGCCATCTGGGCCCCATTGCTTGTCCTCAGAGTGGATGCACCAGAAAGCTGAGGGATCTGGCTGCCCTGAGAAAGCATCGCGTTGTTCACGGGCCCCGAAACCACGTCTGTGCAGAGTGTGGAAAGGCGTTCACTGAGAGCTCAAAACTTAAAAGGCATTTCCTGGTTCACACTGGAGAGAGGCCGTTTCAGTGCACCTTCGCAGGGTGCGGAAAGCGCTTCTCCCTGGATTTCAATTTGCGTACACACGTCCGCATCCACACAGGGGAGAAACGTTTTGCGTGTCCCTTTGAAGGCTGTAGCAAGAAGTTTACTCAGTCAAGTAACCTGAAAGCCCACATCCTAACTCATGCAGATATGAGCAAGAACGAATGAAAAAGATGGCAAATAGTCCTTCAACAGGATAACCTTATTAACAGGAGCGATCAGTGACAAACATGCCTCATTGATCATTGTTTTTCGGAAGGAACTTTTTTTTTTTAAATTTTTTATTTTTTTGAGATGTGGTCTGGCTCTATCTCCAGGCTGGAGTGCAGTGGTGTGATCTCGGCTCACTGCAACCTCTGACTCCGGGTTCAAGTGATTCTCCTGCCTCATCCTCCCAAGTAGCTGGGACTATAGGCACATGCCACCACGCCCAGCTAATTTTTGTATTTCATAGAGACGGGGTTTCACCATGTTGGCCAGGATGGTCTTGATCTCTTGACCTTGTGATCCGCCTGCCTCAGACTCCCAAAGTGCTGGGATTACAGGCGTGAGACACCTTGCCCAACCTAGGAAAGAATTTTTAAATCAATATTGCAACCCCAAAAGCAGTTATAATTTGGTGTCACTTAGATGCCCCTGCACTTTATGATACCGTTTTAAGAATATTGAGTATTCTTAAAGTGTGCTTCCAACAGGAAGGTCAGTGATAAATTGACTGCAAAAGCATAACCTTTAATATATTATCTATCGGCTTGTTGGATATAAGACTTATTTTCGGCCGGGTGCGGTGGCTCACACCTGTAATCCCAGCACTTTGGGAGGCCGAGGCGGGTGGATCACAAGGTCAAGAGATCGAGACCATCCTGGTCAACACGGTGAAACCCCGTCTCTACTAAAAATACAAAAAAATTAGCTGGGCATGGTGGTGCGTGCCTGTAATCCCAGCTACTCAGGAGGCTGAGGCAGGAGAATTGCCTGAACCCAGGAGGCGGAGGTTGCGGTGAGCCGAGATGGCGCCATTGCACTCCAGCCTGGGTAACAAGAGCGAAACTCCGTCTCA